GTTTACGAATGATGGCAGTTGATTAACAATTCACAAGTCATCGCATAACCAATACCCATTGGTTTAAAAAAATAAAAATCATATGACGACCATTTAAATACAATCCTCGTGATTAGAAAACCAATTGATTTCTCCGAAATTCCTACCGGCATCTTGAGGGACGTCCTCCATCACCTTCTCTTGCCCCTTAGGGTAATAAATTCCAGTTCGATAGTCCGGAGTCCACCAAGTAGCATCACAATTTTCGGCCACCATGTTCTTGTTCTTCACTTCCTCTCCGTTCAATTTGATTGTGTCACTTATCATGTCTGGACTTTTTCTATGATACGCTTTCCTCAACATTGGCCTACACGTGCATTGAAAAATTAATCAAATAAAAAATATACTAAAGTAATATCCTGAGTTTTAGTATCACCAACACCATTTGAGCGCGACAACATAAATATTTATAATATGCTAGAAAATTTGTATGTATGTAACTACATCCTCTCTATATGACACACTTCTGATTGAACCTTAACATATCATAAAGGCGTTCAATGCACGTCTTTGTCGATCAAACTTGTTAATCAAAATAAACCCTTACTTGAAATACATGGAATTCATGGTTTGAGCTCCTCTACTAGTTGCTGTAGCTGCCATTATCTTCTACTCTTCCAAAATGAGTTTGCTGTGGATTTGAATAGTGAAATAAAATGTAACCCATACCTCCCTTTTATACTCGAAAACAATGTATGGGTTCAGACAGAGAAAATAAATAAAGGAAAAAGCCACAAAAAAATTTGTATTCCCAAGAAAGCAAAGGTATGGGTGGCGTCATTGGATGTTTGGATGTTTGTTGAAGGGTCAAAACAACACGCATTTCAGTTCCTTTCTGATTGGAATAGAATGGAGAGGAAACTTCGCATTCAATGAAAACGCCAAGGGAGTAATGGGACTTTATTTATGGTACATACTCCCTCCCCTGGTTATATTTTTGTGGGATAAAAGTTGGTGCTAAAGTTGCTTTTGAAATTAAGAAATTGTTTTTACACCTATTTGAATAATTTTTTGAAAGAAAACTGTTTGATTAGAAAAAAAATTTAAGCACTTTTGGTAGGCTGTATTTGATTAGGAGAGAGGATTAGGGGTTAAGAATTGAGATTCCATCTTAAAAAGGTCAACCTTAAATCCTTTATTAATTGGTTTATGTTCACATATTTATTCGATGTGAGATTCTATCCCTTAACATGCCCCGATAAGATGGTGGCTCGTTTGAGCAGAGAAATTTTGAAATCCGTATGCTCACTTTTGGAGTCTTAATCGGATCGAATTGTTCGTTAAAACTTAATGGACTCTGATACAATGTTAAGAATTAAAGTTTCATCTTAAAATGTCAATCTTATTAAGATGAGGAACTCGATCCTTTATTAGTCGGTTTATGTTCACATATTTATTCGATGTGATATGCTATAATAATTTTCTTATCAAAAAAAAAAAAATTATTCGATGTGAGATTCTATTCCTTAATATTATGTTGATGGTATTAAGATGGATTACGAAGGATTGTTCTAATATAGCTTTTGGTGCTACACCGTATTAGACAACGGTGCAGACAAAGAAAATTTTAAAATTTAGAAATACATTTTTACTAATAATTACTCATAAGAAATTTTTCCTGTTTACATATAAATGAATTTTAACTTAAAAGTGAAATTTTTACTTATAATTAATTTTTAAAAATTTTAAATAAAACTTATAAATTATAAGTAAATTTTTTACTCGTAAGTGATTTCTTTACTTATAAGTTAAATTTTATAGCTATAAGTGAGTTTTTGTCCTATAAATGAATTTTGAAGTTACTGGCAATATTTTTCACTTAGAAGCAATATTTTTTACACAAAAGAGAATTTTTGTCTTATAAGATTTTTTTTTACTTATTATTGACTTTTTAAGTAATAAATAGCATTTTTTACTTAAAGGCAAATTTTTTTTTTTTTTTTTTCATATAATCGATTTTTTGCTTATAAGTAATTTTTTACTTTCAATTTATTTTTTAAGTTATAAGTAATTTTTTACTTTTAAGCAATGTTTTTACATTTAAGTGAATTTTGTCTTATAAATGATTTTTTACTTATAAGTAATTACTTTAGTTCTAAAATTATTATTTTAACTTTATAAGCATTTTATTATTTATAAGTTATTTTTTTACTCGTAAGTATACTTCTCTCACTCAATACACCAATCTTGGACTTACAGCTGAATATTTTTACTTATAAGTGAATTTTTTTTTGCCTATAAATGATTTTTTAGTCTATAAATGATTTTTTAGTTATAAGTTGATTTCTTACTTATAAGTGAAATCCTTAACTCTTATTTACTTATAAGTTTATGTAATTCTATTGATCTTTTCTTAATTCGTAAATTAGTCCATAAATAATACAACTTAAACCCACCCACCCAACCGCGCAGCTATTGAACAAAGGAGGATAAAAAGAATAAGCCAGATAATCTCTCAATTTGGATAAAGAATAAGAGATACTCGTGATATGTCTATACATTTTGTGTCCTCCATTCTGCCAGACCTTTGGATATGACATTCATTGACCAAAAAAGGTTGATTATGCTCAATGACGAAAATAACCCCTCATCCCATTCCCCCAGCCAATGGACCATAAATTTTCTTGCTGGCTTCCTTTCTTCTTTTCCTCAGATTAGCTCTAAAAGAAGGGGGAAAAAATGGTGGGATGGAGAAGGGGGAGTGGGGGGAGTGATATAAAACATGGGAAAATTCATCTGTGTCATCCAGCTATCGGAATTTACAACACATGGTTCGACCTTTATTAGTGTTGAAATTATAAAAATAACGAAGAACTTGATAGTCATATGTCCAATATATCCACTTTGATCGGATGAGACTATGTTTACATTTACACCCGTGTTTGTAAATAAATGATGAATTATATACACACTACATGATATATACTCAAAAATATACGAAGGTATGATAAACAATACAGTTAGACTGAGTTCTTACAAGATAGAAGTTGTATCTGGTAATTGGATTTTCAGGTTTGATCGATTAGTGACGACTGGATTTCCTGAATCATCCAAATGAATTACAGCAATGTCACCAGGTTTGTACTCCTCGGAAAGAAGTGATTCGCTCAAGAGATCTTCAATAATGACAGTAACTGCCCTCCTGAGAGGCCGGGCACCATAACTCCGGTCATACCCTTGTTCGCATATTAGGTCCATTATTTCTTTTGACACCTCCAACCCAACTCCCAAAGATATTAGCCGTTCTTTCACCTCATGCAGCATTATATTTAAAATTTCGAGCATCTGAAATGGAAAGTAATTGAATATTCTAATGAAAATCGATGAAGCAAGATACAGCCTTATCTAGGATCAAAACATGTCTCATGTTTCATTTTATTGCAAGAATTGATCAAGACAAGATGTGAATTTTACTTTGAGCTTAAAAAGTTCAATTATATGTACACAAGCAAGTTTTGACATATAATTTGACAGTGAGGTAAAAGTTATTTTAAAATAAATTTGACTGTTTATATTTGGTAAGAAACAGAAAATGATTCCAAACATGTTTGAAAACAAAAGGTTAATTTTTTTAAAGCTTAGCGAATCATGCTCAAAGCAGATAACGGAGTGCAACGAAAGCCTTCAATATATCTAAAATACAGCAACAAACCATATAAGACATACCTGAGGCTTCTCAAGAGGGCGGAACACCACTACTTCATCTATCCTGTTGAGCAACTCAGGGCGGAAATACGCCTTGAGCTCTTCCATCACCAATGCTTTCATTCCAGCATACGAAGATGATGCATCATCAGCAATCAAGAAACCAATGGAGTTTAGCCTACCCTTGGCGATGGCGGAAGAACCCACATTAGAAGTCATCACTACCAGTGCGTTTTTAAACGATACTCTACGACCCTGTCGCACAAAATTTCAGAATTAGGGGCAGTTAGAATCAGAACTAGATAATAATGAAAAATAATTTTGACGAGAAAAAAAACGAAGAGCCATTTTCCATGTCATTAAAATTTTTAAGCGAGTAGAAATAATTGCAAGCAAACCTGAGAATCTGTAAGGTGACCATCTTCAAACAGCTGAAGAAGAATATTGAATATATCAGGATGAGCTTTCTCAATCTCATCTAGCAGTACAACTGTGAAAGGCCGTTTTCTAATAGCTTCTGTAAGGGCGCCTCCTTCTCCATAGCCAACGTAGCCTGGGGGAGATCCAATTAACTTGCTCACTGTATGCCGCTCCATATATTCACTCATGTCCAATCGTAGCATGGCTGACTCCTGCAACAAAAGGGAAAGTATAATTGACATCCCAGCTTCTTGATTCTTCCAAACAAAGTTGAAATTAGTTCATTTGACCCTTGGACCCAAAAATTATATGAGCACAAAAAAAAAAGGAAGATGTAGAGAAAGGGATTTGTTTTCAACTAATTACAACTGCCAAGATATCAGATAATTAGACAGAAATTATTTCAAATCCATTTCACAAAGACAATACAAATTTGTCAATTCTAATAACCCAAATACACTGTAAATTGCAAATCTAACCCAAATACAATATTAGTTGCAAATCTAACGTTCTTGTTGAAACATAAAGCCCAGATCCACATCTAAAACCTGAACTTTGATTTCTAAAAAATCACTTCCAAATCCTTCCATTTTGGTAATTTTTCTTGCCTAAGGCCATCTCCATATGTTGAGGGTGTTAAAGAGATAAAATCTCACATCAAATAAAGATGAAAACATTGACCAATTTATAAGGATTTGGGCTACCACTCTTAATAAGATTGAGATTTTAAGATGAAACCCCAAATCTTAGCAGAAGGCATGTTGGACAAGTTGAATTTGGGTAGAGATAATTGCCTTAAGCGTATGTAGTTCTTGTCTGACCATAACCAGAGGGCAGGGAAGATAGCTACATATAGCATTCATGTACAATTGCTTCAAACTTAAGCAGTCATGGCAAAAAGTATAATCATTTACCATTAATGTTTACTTTGAAAAAGTCTATAGACTATATTGCAAGGCATTGCCAGACAAAGAAACTGAGAATCGGGAAGAACCTAAATAATGCCCTTTTTGTGTTGCCTAAAAAGTTACTAATAATTGCCTTTTTTTTAATACTCTCAAGTCCAAACATTAATTTCAACCACACATTCATAACTACTACTCATTTATTATTCACGCATTTCATGGGACCCAATACTATTCCCCCGAAAAAGTCACTAATATTTTTAGATGAACAAAGCAAATGATTACTTCAAGAATCCTAAATTAATTTATATATGAAATGAAAATAGTGTTAAAAACAGAAATTAATTAAGTGCACAAGTTCTTACAGAACCAAAATAGCTTGCTGCCAAAGCTTTGGTCAGTTCAGTTTTTCCCACACCAGTGGGGCCACAGAAGAGCATTGCTGCAATTGGTCTATCTGGTTGACTTAGGCCAACACGGGATCTCTTCACAGCCCGACAAATGGAAGCAACGGCCTCATCTTGACCAATAACCCGTTTTTTGAGTTGTTCGTCAAGACCCATCAGAAGCATTCTTTCGTCAGCTGTAAGCTTCTTAACAGGAATCCCAGACCAGAGAGAAGCAACAGCTGCTATTTCCTCAGGTCCAACCACTGTAGGCCTGGGAAGAAGGAGAAACTTTCAGCTTGTGATCTAGTAGTTAAGAACTTGGAATTAACATTTCTGCATTTTGAAAAGAACACGAGGCCAGATACATACTCTTCATTTTTAAACGTGGAAGTCAATGAAGATTCAAAAGTAAGTCTACTATCCTCCTCCATAGAGTTGTTGCCATTTTCACTCAGTTCTCTAGCCAGCTCCTACTCATACTCAAGGATTAGAAGGACACTATTTGAATGTTCATAACAATTAATGCAGAGTACATGTAAAACATAGCCTATATAGGTGACTCCACAAAAAATTAAAATCATACCACTTCGTGCATAGCCTGAACAGATCTAATTTCTTGCCAATAATCACTCGGCGACTTTGATAGTATACAGGTTTGCTGTTCCTTTCTTATCTTAGATGCTTCCATACGGGCTTTACTTCCTGCCTCGTCTAGAAGATCAATCGCTTTATCAGGAAGATATCTATCTGGAATATACCTAGCTGACAAATGTACAGCAGCATTTATGGCCTCCAAAGTGTATCTACATTTGTGATAGGCTTCATATCTTTCACGCAAACCCAACAGTATATGAACTGCATCCTCCTTCAATATGTAAACAACATAACGGAAAAATGTAAATCAAATTTTCTATATTAATACGAGCATGTGCAATGTGTATCCCTTGTATTACTACCTGGCTTGGTTCATTAATCAAGACAGGTTGAAATCTTCGGGCCAATGCCTTGTCCTTTTCAAAATGCAACCTGAATTCATCCATCGTTGTCGATGCAATACACTGTTACAAACAAAATGTTAGTTCATGCAGTTTCGAAACCTACCTAGTATTCTAAAAATGCATCAAGGAGCTGTTTGTGAGTGGGGTGGATTTTGCAGATTACTCTAGCAACAAATTTTGACAAACAAAACTAGACTTTTGCATGCAGGCATTAGTGATAAAAGGCAGTTTTGGAAAAAGTGGGGAGCTGTGAAACAAAATATCACGGTTAGCTTCATTTATGCAAAGCTTGCAGATATAGATCTCTCCAAATCTCATGCACCAATGGGCAGGATATAAAACCTAAAAGGATAAGCAAGGCATCATAAGAAAGATAGTCACCTGCAGTTCACCGCGTCCTAGCGACGGCTTCAATAAATTAGCTATGTCTAGACCAGATCCCTTATTTCCTCGTCCAACCGTGCCAGAACCAATAAGTGTGTGGACCTCATCAATAAAGAGAATTATATTGCCTGCAATGCCGCCAATTCATTCTGAGCCATGATTTAAGTACTTTTGACCCCTACATAAGTCCAAACAGGTGCTTACCTGACTTCTTAATCTCCTTAATTAATGTGGTTACACGTCCCTCCAACTCACCCCTTTCCTTAGCTCCAGAGATTAATAGGCCAATATCTAAGGACATTATGCGCTTTTTCTGTTCCAAAGAGCACAATGTTCACAATCAAGTTAGCATGCAACTATTTCAAGGGTACAAGTAAACATTATATCCAAATCAGCTTCTGTGTATGTGTGCGCGTGCAATTTATATAAAATCTGTCATTCCTTGAGAGACAACCCACCAAGAGAAAATAGGGAACATTATTATCAGCTATATTTATTGCCAGGCCTTCTGCAATTGCCGTTTTCCCTACTCCAGCTTCACCAAGAAGAATTGCATTATTTTTGGTTCTTCGGCAAAGAATTTGAATGATCCTCTGGACTTCAGTTTCTCGACCAATCACAGGATCAATCAGTCCATTGCTAGCACGGGCAGTAAGATCCACACAGAATAGGTCCAGCGCTTTTTTATCTGTTAAACACGGTTAAACTTCTGATCATTCTAATACGTTTTCATCAAATTTATAATCCACATATGAACTAAAGAAAAAAACAGTTTCCACCTCTTGACTTTTCCAGTGATCTACTATGAGTGGTTTTCTCCGAGAGGGAATTCTCACGCGACCTTTTCAAAGCAGTAGGTGGTTCTCTTCCATCTTTCGCCATCTCCCCTTGGAGTCTGGAGATTGCCACTTCTGCCAAATTATTTACATTTGCCCCTAATCTGAAATCATATTAGTTGAGTCCAATAAATGAAAATTTGCAATTGCTATAAGATGTCTTAGTTATAGGTGCAATTTATCTAGAATCACCAACGTAAGTGATTATTAAGAAAAAGGCAGATCTGCACTAATGAAGCCAAAGGGACCATTCAATTCAGAAAACAAATACAAGTACATTTGCTAATATTCAAACTTTGGTACAAAATTTACCTAAATTGATCCCCAGTAGTTTGTCATATTGTTTGAAAGAAAATTATGATATACCAATTGACAACATGACCATTAATTTTTCCATGTTCTACTTGAAAAAGATTAGAGATAACGAAAGGATAGCATAATGCAACATCAAACAGAATCTTTAATTTTATTTTATTTTTGGCTATGTGGCAAATCATATAAATCACCGATACTTAAAAATATGATAATTGAAGAAATGAAGATTATGAATCCATTTTAGCATGCTATTCATGTGGGTGAGATTAGTGAATCCAACAGATGCATTGGCATAAAGCATATCCACGGATCAACAACATAGTATCTACATATTATAATTAATTGCTGACCAGTTAATTGTCATTCATGTCCAGGCCTAATGCTCTAAATAACTGTACCCAAACAACACTTCCATAGATATCAATTTAATTCGTGATGCATTGCTATAAAGGCAGCCTCATATAAAGAGATGCCCAGCAGTATCATTAATACATACAAATGCACTAACACATAACACTATAGGGACAATCTCCTCAATGTGTGCAAGCTGTATACTCGAACAACTACAGAAAGGTATAAACAAGTGAAAGAAAATGATATTTTAATATCTGTTATCTAAATTTCCCAAAATTAAAAAATCTTCATATTATACAAAATACAATAATATTCATCCACGACACTGTCCAAAAAACCTAAATCCTATATATAAATTACAATCACATAGCCAATGTGAACTATGATTCATTAAAGTGAAAGGATAAAAATCATATATGTAAAATCATACATGCGAGGTATACCTCTTGAGGACTCGGCCAGCACTGCCATCATCAACGGTGAACAATCCAATCCACATATGTTCGGGCGCGATAAAATTATACCCCATGGTCTTCGAGTACTCAACTGCGGCCTCGAAAACACGCTTTGTGCTCACAGAAAAAGGCACATCCGTTGCTGATGTCTCCGGTTGAGCAACACTCCCGCTATTATTCCCATTATCATTGTCATTCTGCCAAATGCTTCGCACAGCTTCACGCGCAGCATCAATTGTATGGCCAGAGCCCAAGAACCCAGCCGGGTCCCGATCCTCCGCAACAAGGCCTAGCAAAAGGTGCTGGGTAAACACCATGTCTTTGCCTAATGCCTTGGCTTCTCTCTGCGAAAACATCACTGCTTTAATTGCTCTTTCAGTAAATCTCTCAAAAACTCCCGAAACTACATAAAATGATCGTTTTCCCTTATAGATAGAAAATGAATTGTTCCTGCAGCCACGTTGAGAAAGCGAATTTCCAAAGTAGGACGAAAAGGATGAGGAACAACTACTGCTACAGACAGTGGTAGGTGTGGAAATATTGGAAGGAAAGGCAGGGTAATTTGGTAATAAAGAAAAAACTTTTTGACATCGCCGGTGGTTATTTGATACAGAAAAACGCCGATTTTGGATAAAATTCACCGAAAGAGGTGGCGAACACGATAATTCCATCACAATTAATTTAATTTTATTATTTTTGTTTTTGAATTACACCGACACCGTTACAGTAGAAGAAATTGAAGAAAATCAATCAATAGTAAAATGAAGAGCGTGTGTGCGCCCGTGCCCGCAGATTACGGAGGATTTTTTGTGGCGGTGGACGCCGAAGGGCGGAGGCGGAGCACGGCGCAGACTAGTTTCGATTGGGGGGATTGAGAATTCTGGCAATGTTATTTGGGTTTTGCTATTTGTTTTGGTCAAAAGAGTCTGTGCCTAGACAACAAAAATCCGGTGGCTTTTTTTTCTAGGAAAAGTTTTGCCTTTCAATTTTAGCTCACATGCGTTCGCCGTTGCTTTTAATTGAGTTCAATTTTTGACGCATCTACATATTATATGCTAACATCTTCTCATTTGTTAAGAAAAAGTGACGTAACAAATTTTCGAAAAACATATTAATGGGACGATAAGTTCGAAATAGTAAATCTAAACTCGTAATTAACGACTTTTGTTGCTTTATTATTATTTTTATTTATTTAATACTAGGATAGGATATAATTAAATAGAAATTACAAATTATTGAATATAAATTACACGTGAAATTCATTAAAGAAGTGGGTCTAAGCACGCAATCTAAAGGGTAGTTCACACCAAGACGCCAAAGGAAGGAATTTTGGAGGTATTTCAGTAGAAAATTCCAACACAACAAGGTTGAAAGGAAAGAATAATGGGCGTATCTAATCACACACTTGTTTTCTCGATTAAATTCCATTTTATAGCATTTTTATATATTTAAAATTATTATTAACTTCTTCAATTCATGAAATGAATAGTAATTTTATACATATAATTGAAATTAATATTTGACTTTGATTAAATAAAAAAAATATTAATAATTCTGTAAGAAACTCGAACAGATGCAATGTTTCGTGTTGATAAAAAAATAGGGATAATCATTTTTTTACGATCATATCTGATTTATAATTTTATCTTTTATTCTTATTCAAGATATAAAACGTGCGCTTTCTCAAATGTTTGTTACAACAATACGAGTAGCACGTCTTGTAATGTAAGTTATAAACCACGGCATTTAAAAATAAATATAAAATAAAATTTTATTTGTTATATTATTCAAAATGATATATTATTATGTACCAAGAGAAGATGCAATTGAGCAGCTTTCAAAGATTGCTATCAATGACCTGTAGAGAAAGTACTTTAAGGCTATGTTTGATAGCTCTTGTTTTCCAAGAAAAATCGAAAACAATTTTCATTTTCTTCATTTTTCATGATTTATGGTTGTTTGCTAGAAAAACTTGCCATAGAAAACAATTTCCACCCACGTGCACCAATTCCACCAAATTAAGGAAGGTCGCTGAATTATTTTTTTTTTAGCAATTGAAAAAAATTCTAAACATAACGGTAAAAAAAAAATTATCACTTTTATTGACAATTTCCATACAAAAAAAAAAGTCAAACAAGTGGTATTCGATATGGTAATTTTTTTTTTATTTTTTTTAGCAATTGGAAGAAATTCTATACTCAATGGTAAAAAAAAATTATTACTTTAATAGACAATTTTCATAAAAAACAAAGATAAACAGACACCGAACTTTCAACATTTTTTAGGTGGAAAATTATACCAATCAAACACAATTAATTACAATTTACAGTAAAATAAATTTTAGACAATTCAATTCCCTGTAATTCATTTTCTTTTCACCAAAATTCCACATTCGCAATCAAAAGTACCCTAACTTTCTAGCTTTGATTCTCCTAGTAGCATTATTGGGTACAATAATTTTTTATAAGATCATGATGTTTATACACTCCCTCGATGTTCCTTTCAACGGTATATAATACAAATACAAAATCAGAAACCACCACCCAAAAACTAGGGATCATTTAGTTTAAGTTTCAATTTTGAGTGAATATAATAATTTTTGCGTCAATACAAAAGAAAATTAAATTAAATAATAAATTGAGTTGGCAAAATATAGGAAATGAAAAATAAAAATTAATTATGTGGTTGGAAATTTTTATCCGTGTTCATTTAAATATATATTTTTAATTTTTATGGAATTAACCATTAAGAGCTTGTTTTAGAAATTTTTTTTTTACCAAATTTTTTATATATTTGTTAGACTTTCAAAAAAAAAATTTAGAATATTAGCTTTTTTAGTAATTTATATTTGAAGAATTTAAAAAAAAAAATCAAAAATTTTAATTTATTATTATTTAGAATTAAACAATTTTTCTTTTTTTTTAAAAAAAAAATTGCACTTTTAGGTTTTAGAATTTTATTTAAATGCTCATTTCTCATGTGAAAACACTCAAAATGCAAAAGATGCATTTTGAATTTTAAGTTATAAGTTCAACGTCCTTATTTTCGAAAATGTATTTTAAAAAATATCATACCAAACAAATTTTGAATATTTTGCAAAACTGAATTTGGGAACATTTAGAAATGTGAACCATTATATTTTGCTTTTATATCATATAAATAGTATTACGTAGAATTGAATCCTATAACCCTATAAGGGATAATTTTAGTGGTGGTCCCAAACTTTTCAAAAAATAAGCACATTTTATTTAAGTCTTTGATTTGTAGTAGTATCGATTTCAACTAGGGCTCGGCATGATCCGATCCGATTCAGTTATCTTTAGAATCGAATTTTTGGGTATTTAATAAATGAAATCGTCGTGTTCAAATTTAATTATGAAATCACTCGGGTTCAGTTCCATTCAATTCGATTTGGTTCTCGGGTTCCGTATAATAATTAAAACTTTTACATTACAACAACGCTACATTAATTCGATTATGACATGTTCAATCTCAACTCTTACAAAATAATGTAGTTCAATATCGTGATATCTTTTATATATCTCTTTGTTGAGTTTTTCATAGATTTGACCGTTAAAATCATAGAAAGAGGAAGATGTCGAGATCACAATAATATAATGACAGAAATGACACTACGTTAGAATAAAAGATTTTGGTAAAATTTATTTCAATTTAATTAAATTAGGTTTGACTGAAAATTGGAAATCGTAAAATCATATTTTGGGTTTGGACAATGATGGCTTCCTAAATGTATCATACAAGTATTCTAACGAGGTTGACGATACTCCATTCACGTGCAATATGTTACATTAAAAAGTACCCACACAAAAAATCATGTGCATGTTTCAAAAGTAGAAAAATTTTCCGATACTAAATTTCTCAACAATAGCATCATCCATGAGAGTATTTAGAAACATTAGAGTTGGGCATGGTTCGGTTCGCCCAAATTTTTGGTAAATGGAACCATTGGGTCCAATTTTACTTATAGAATTGTTCGGGTTCGGTTCCCGAGTTTCGTACAATAATTAATTTTTTTTATATTACAAAAATGCTACATTAATTCAACCATGACATGTTCAATATTAACTGTTCAAAATATTAGAATGGTAGAATCAACACTACGATAGCTTAGGTCAATTTGATTATGTTGGGTTTTGCTGCAAATTAGAAATAGTAAAATCATATTTTGGGTTTGGACTAAATTAATTAGTTAGAAAATTTATGTAAAAAAAATAAAAGACTCCGACTTATTTAAGATGATGATGATGATGATGATGATGATGATGATAGGGATTCAGTTCGTATTCAATTTTTCGATTCTTCGTCTAGAACCGAGAATCGAATCCGTCGATTTTCGATTCAGATATCCATTCGAGTATTTAACTTAAGAAGAATCGCTTGGCTCGATTTAATTCAGTTCGAGAATTGTCTAACCTTAATTTCAACCCCTTCAAACTAGTGAGGCGAAATGATTTTTGGATGGTTTTCTTCAAAAAAAAAAAAAAGTCAGATGACCAAAATTCAACATTTGACCAATTTAGGGATGGCTACGGGGTGGGTATGAGACGTGTCGGTCATTCTCACCCCCATCTCATCAGGTATTTTTGTTATCTTGCTCCATTCTTATACCCGATTAAAGCGGGACGAGGTGGGTTCGGTTATTTTTTTCTTTATATATATATTTTTCTTTTTATTTTTTTAATGTCTTTAATTAGTAAACATTATTACTTTTTTTTTTATTAATTTATTAAAAACAACTTATGTTCTCTTTCAAAATGATAATAAATTTATTATTTTTTTTTAGATAAAAAACTTAAATTTGAAATTAATTTTAAACGGGTTGGGTAGCAGCGTGAGGGAACTATATTTTACGTACCCGCCTTGTACCCACTTCAAGGTAATGACTATCGCCTTGTTCCAGTCCCGTTTACGCGGTTTGACGGGTAATCCCCGCCCCACCCCAAGTGTATCAGGTTAAATGCATTTTTTCGCCATTCCTAGACCAATTCTTAAAAGGGTAAAAATTTTATTAATTAAAAAAGAACAACTTGCATCGAAAACCTCAAACAGTTCAAAAATATGTACTAGGTGTCTCAATTTTTTAATAAATGTGCACTGGAATGACATGCAACGATTTTCATCAAAAAAATTATCAGTTGGCAAAAGTATTCGTCTTCTATGATGCGCAGAACCTCCAAACCCCGATGCCCCAACTCCTAACCATCCATTGTTTAAATATTTGAAGTAATGGGGGTAAATTACTTTGATATCGTTGAACATAAGTAAAGGTCGATTATATATTCTAGTTCGATAGTAAATTTTTATATTTATTCTTCTATTCTACGAAAATATAAAG